GTATATAAATGTCTATTAAATGGTTTATTATGAATATGTTTTGTTAGGAATTTGAGTGCTTTTTTGGTGACAATTGTGCCATAAATTGTTTGACGAGAAAATTCTGCAAAAAGTGTAGACTTGAGAAATGTCTTGTCGTCGGAATGAAAAATGTAAGGCATTTCTCAATTTCTTTACATTAATTATGATTTCTTTGTTAATTAATTAGAAAACATCGGTTCACACAAGGATTAAACGATTATCTGATAAACAGCCAAATGTTTTGGATATAACTCACAGTCAATTAGTTATGAATATTGAAGCGTCAAATGCTATGAATGAGAGCAACAAAATGTCACACAATATACCGTCGGTTATCAAACAGTTTATATTCAACTTCAATGAGTTAGAGATTAATAGACTTAAGGAGTTATTTAGTTCAGTGGCTACTGTTAGACACCAGAGGGTTAGGACAGTAGTGTATGAGACAGAGTGTGTTTCGGATGCACTCCATGTGTTGCACAATAGGTCTGACCGTAAGTTTCCGCAAATGATTAAAATGTTGGAAAGGATTCATGGATTCAATGAGTTGTGCGCAAACGACAAGTCAGTGCTCTTTAAAGCCCCCTGTCCTCAGCTCATGCTTTTGGAGAGTATTATACTTTTTGACTTTAATGGCCAGTTCTGGACGATTCCTATTGTATGCCATTATTATAATGAATTTATTTTAAAATTAATTAATCATGATCAAAGACATTGATTTATTTAACACATATTGATTGCATATTTGATAGAATGATGAAAAGGCATCAATTTTACGGCTAAGCGTTTGGATGGGTTGGAGTGATATTGTGGTCGAAATGCAAAAGAAATTTATGTTTAGTTTGAGAGATGAATACAATTGTGATTTAAATATTATTGATTTGGTATAAGTTTATTCAATTACTATTTTGTGAAAGTAATCCGAAATTATTTATTAAATATGATAGTTAATAGCGATTGTATTATTTAACCCCGAAGTACAAAATCTGGTTTCTAAACACAGTGTAATGTAAGAATAATTTATAGAAAAATTATATTAATATTTAATTTTGGTATTAATTATTTATTATTTATAAATACATGTATAGACTTCAACAAAAGGCATACATGTATTTAATTCAACGGTATTTAGAAATTAAATACAACTCAAAGTCAGAATCGGAGACACGATTTGTGCGATTAATGAATAGTTTTGCAAGTATTGAAAGAATGCAATCAATTATTTCGCAAACAATTTGCAAACTCTATTACAAAGGATATTCTTCCCATACGGGTATCACCTCTTGTACAAGAGGTCTACGAAATAAATATTTTAAATGATCATGATTATATATAATATAATTGTATAATTATCTAATTATAATAAATATAATTAAATTTTTTATAATTTTTATTAATATTTTTTATTATAGCAATTATTATTTATAATTTATGTTCAGAATTATTGTACAATTAAATTACAAAATATTGATTACTGACTGAAAACTTATATCAACAATATTTTCATGAATATCGAGTCTTTTTGTGGAAATAAAATTTTCTCGCGTTTTATAACAATAATATAATTTTAAAAATATTTTAAAACAATTCTAACCGTGAATTCAATTAAAGATTTTTAATACAATTCATAAATTTAGACATTTTTGAAAAGTATTCAAAGAATATGAAGAAGTTTTGAAGAAATTAAAGGCAAAGACATGACTGAAATGAATCGCCAGAGAAGTGATGTCACGAATCATGTCATCAAGTATTTAGATATCAAAGACTTGTTTGGTTTGCAACGAGTGTCACAACAATACAGGGATTGTGTGAAAGAAGTTCTTCAGAAGAAGAGAGAAGTGAGCGTTGGATTCAATGATCTGAACCCGAGTTCTCCGTTAAGATATTTTAAACCAAACTTTGAGGCCAATGATTGGAAGCGCATTGATATCACACAAGCGATCTCTTTGGTGGACAATGATATGGTATTAGATCACAACCAAAATATAGAGCCTATTGTCCGCCAATTCCGAGACGTGAAGAAGTTATATCTGTCCACAACTGTCATCAGTTTCAAGACATTAAAGCTGATCGTCAATCAGTGGCCACAACTCGAAGAATTTTATATCAATGGCATCGATATCTATCGCTCAAGTGATCAGACAATCACCGAATGGACACAACTTCTATCAAAAGTCAGACACATATCCATCGGAGCTTTGAAACGAAATTGTAGGCCATTTTTCACGGCTATTATCGCACAATTGCCGTCACTTCAAAGTATAAATGCTTATCCTATGTGTGAGTCATGCCCTTTGGATCAAACCATCGCTCTATCATTACTGATTGATTGTCTGCCGGCAGACATCCAATGCCTACACATCGGTGTGACTCCAGCGGACAGTCAGGCACTGGATGTGATCACAAGTAAATGCACACAATTAAAGAAACTATCCATTTATGAGTGTTTGGCGCCTTCAACTCACATCTTAGAGATTCATCTCTGGAACCAGTGGTTCGCAATGATCTGCGATCGACTCAAAGCACTCCAGTATTTGCGAACAAATTTGGTCGACATTTCTGCCAAAGAATTTGCCGAAAGTGTGACAAAACTAAAGGATTTACAATCACTTCACATCGGATCCAGCGATTGGCGCACTCACGGGAAAACCCATTGGATGTGTTTTGACACTCAAGAGATGGCCAAATATATGCCGCCAATGGTGTCGTTGAAGACACTATCTCTGCAGCGACTCAAGTGTTCACCGAATCGGTTGATATATTTTGCCCAAATCCTACCGAATGTCCGCCAATTGACTGTCGATTTCATGAGTTATCGCTCGGAATGTAAACACGGAGACGATTGCGATGAGTGTTTCTATCGGTGTATGGATTTTGTATCAAAACTGCCGAATTTAAAACACATTATGTTTCGAAATGGTTTCAATGATCTCATGACAAGACATGTATTGGAATTGTTTGCAGACGTGGATCAGCTGTATATTGATTCAAAAAGCAAATATTTCATCGAAGAGCTGATTCATTTCATAATCTTTTCACTCGACAATAGACGGCGAGTATTGCGATTGGATTTGTTGCCAATCGTGAAGAGACAACTGATCCAAAGAATGGCGGCATTGGATCTCCCAATGAATGGACGTGTGATTGTGGGTCATATCAATACTCTTTCATATCGATTATTGTTGTAAAATTTAATTGTTTTATGATTTATGTTTCAAAACGACAGTCCATTTCAATCACATTTCAAAATCCATTTGTTGTAAATAAAATAAATTTTGCGATCAATTAATATTTATTCTTTAATTAAGAAAATTAGTAATGAATGTAATAACAAAATCAATACAACTTAAATTATTTAATACTTAATATTGTTAATTAAAAATATTTATTAAAGATCTTTACATAGATCTGCGTTAACCTTAATTAAATGTTAACTTAATATTATATCATAATATAAATGATGAAAAGGCATCAATTTTAAGACTAAGCGTTTGGATGGGTTGGAGTGATATTGTGGTCGAAATGCAAAAGAAATTTATGTTTAGTTTGAGAGATGAATACAATTGTGATTTAAATATTATTGATTTGGTATTATTTTATTCAATTACTATTTTGTGAAAGTAGTCCCAAATTATTTATTAAATACTATAGTTAATAGCGATTGTATTATTTAACCCCGAAGTACCAAACACCGGTTTTTAAACACGGTGTAATGTGAGAATAATTTATAGAAAAATTATATTAATATTTAATTTTGGTATTAATTATTTATTATAATTATATAAATACATGTATAGACTTCAATAAAAGGCATACATGTATTTAATTCAACGGTATTTAGAAATTAAATACAACTTAAAGTAAGAATCGGAGACACGTTATACATAATATAATTGTATAATTATAATAAATATGATTAAATTTTTTGTAATTTTTATTTATATCTTTAAAAATACTAAACATACCAATGCTGTAGTCTTATATTTATTATACAGAATATAGCAATAATTGTTATACAGCACAAATAAGTTTCTTATACTAACTGTTATACTGTATTATTTAATAGATTTGTAATAGATTCGTTAATATACAAAATCGTATACAAACACACACCTGTACTTATAAACATACTGTAGTGTATTACAGGTAATATAAATGCCATAGCTCTCTCTCTCTCTCTCTCTCTCTAATTGATAATTCAATTAATCAATGAATTGATCAAAAATTATATTTATTATTACTAAATATAGCATGTGTAATTTCATGGTCATTTCTAGTGATGGTCTCTATTGATTGAAGACAATTATTATTAATTCAAATAAATATTGTTTCAATTGTCTTGTAAAGGAAAATATTTTTTAGTTAATATAAAATTAAATGGTGAATGCGCTAAAGTATATGCTCATTCACATAAATACTACTGTATTTTAATGTAAAATTGTACCAAGAGAGTTATAAAATAATAATTTTCTCACTAGTAATTTAAAATAATGAAAAATAAGGTTTGTCGCGTTTGTGGTGATCGGGCCATTGGTATGTATATTAATCCAGGCTATATATAATTTATTATTAATTAAATATACTACAATTAATAGGCTATAACTTTGATGCCTTAACGTGTGAATCATGTAGATCATTCTTTCGTAGAAATTGCAGTCGGGTTGAGGTTTGAATACTTGTTTATAAATTGTTATTTAGTTTAATAACATTTTGTTTGTTTAGGAAATTGAATGTTATTTCGACAAAAATTGTGAGATAAACCGTTTGACCCGAAGATTCTGCAAAAGGTGTCGACTTAACAAATGTTTTGCCATCGGTATGAAAAATGTGAGTGAATTTATTGTTATTATGTTTTACAATATACAGTATATTATTAACTTAATTATAAACTTAATAAAATTAACTCGTTGTTAATAAATTAGTTGGTATCTGATTCTGCAATTGTACACAAAAGGCACAGACGATTATGTGGTGATGAATCTCAAAGTCTATTAGATTTTGAAACAATATCTTCAAATATTTTGGATGAGATTAACGAAATTGGGCGCAAAATACCGTCAGTTATCAAAGGGTTTATATTTAATTTCAATGAATTAGAGATTAACAGATGTAAGGAGTTATTCAGTTCAGTGGCTGTCATTAAAGACCCCACTGTTAGGGCCGTAGCCTATGAAGTAAAGTGTGTTTCGGATGCGATTCAGTTGTTACACAATCGGACAAATCAAAAGTTTTTACGAATGGTTAAAATGTGTTCAAAAATTAATGGATTCAATGAGTTGTGCGAAGACGACAAGATTGCACTCCTGAAGACGGCCTGTCCTCAGCTCATGATTTTGCTGAGTGTTATACTATTCGACTTCGAGGGCCAGTTCTGGACGATTCCCATTGTATGTCATTATATAAAGTTATTTTCACATATTTTCTAATTATAAATTTTCAAATACTAAGCATAAAATTTATAAATCATTAAACTTTAACATAAATTATGAACTAATTATTAACACAAATATTTTTGATCACAAATTGTTAGGACGAAGAGAAGGCAACGATATTACCGATGAGTGTTCTCAAGACGTGGAGTGAAATAGTGGTCGAAATACAAAAGAAATTTATGTTTTATATAAGAAGTGAATACAATTGTGATATAAATATCATTGATTTGGTATAATTATTATAATTTATATGTTATTAAGTAAATTAATTTTCAATTATTTGACTTATGTTATTGTTATAGCTAATGGGAATTGTTTTGTTTAATCCACATCAACCAAATCTGGTTCATAAAGAAAGTGTAATGTAAGAATAATTTAAATTGTATTTTTATTTTTGAATTTATTAATTGTCTTATAGACTACAACAGGAGACATACATGTATTTACTTCAACGATATTTAGAGATTAAACACAACTCGAAGTCAGAATCGGATATACATTTCAGAAGTTTAATGAATTGTTTGCAAATAATGTATGAATTAAATGATTTACATCGCAAACAATATGTAAAATCTATGGTTCTTACAGTACAAGTGGCACCACTTGTACAAGAGATATATGAAATTACAGAATTAAACTAATCATACTTTTAATACTTATAATTATTTTTATAATTTGTATAACACTTTATCATGGCAAATTTTATTTTCAAAATTGTTAATTACTAATGTAAGATATATTGTTAATTTAAATTTGTTATTATATTTAGAGATATTTTGTTTAATAACTTTTTATATAATATTGTAATCATAATTAAATTTATATCACCATACTTTATGATATTTGTTAATACAGTAAATAAAAAATGAGCACTTTTAATTATTTATAAATTATTGGCTGTTTTTGGTAAACACTTGTTTCATCTGAACGAAACACTTATTGATTATTAATTATATTGTCATAAATGTAATGTTGTGTAAAGATATATTTAAATATAAAATATTTATTAATTATTTATAGTAATGTTAAATACAGTACATGTGTGCATGCGAATATGTTTAAAATACATTAAACTTGTGTAAATTAAAAATAAAAGTTTAAATATTATAAGTCCTTTGAGTTAACTTTTAATATTTGTTGTGATAATAGTCGTGAATAAGGCAACCGCGGGGATGCTTTTTGGATGCTTTTTTCATAGTTTTGAACACAATAATGACTATTACAACTATTTGTTCATTTTAAAGCATGAGTTAAATACTAAATGTTATGATTTTTTAAACTAATTCATGGCTTTTATTTAGTCTGCATATTANTGACTATTACAACTATTTGTTCATTTTAAAGCATGAGTTAAATACTAAATGTTATGATTTTTTAAACTAATTCATGGCTTTTATTTAGTCTGCATATTAAATGACTCATATTGTGGTTGCCCTAGTCGTGAAGTTTGTTTATTAATAAATTATGAATATTAAATGTTTGAACAAAATGATCTGCAGTGTTTGTGGCGATCGGGCCATTAGTAAGTACTTTAATTTAGTTCATGGCATAGACTATATAAAGTATTTAATTAATTAATAACTACCCTGACAAATAAATAGGTAGTAACTTTGGTATCATAACGTGTGAATCGTGTAGGTCATTTTACCGCCGCAATGAAAAACGTGTTGAGGTTTACATTTATAAATGAAATAATTGTTAATTTATTATTTAATAATATATTTGTTTAGGAATTTGACTGTTTTTATGGTAACAATTGTGAAATAACTCGTTTCACCAGAAAATCTTGCAAAAAATGTAGAATTAGAAAATGTTTGGCCGTCGGTATGAAAAATGTGCGAAAATATAACATTTTAATTATTTTTCGGTCACAATATTAATAATTAATTTGTATTTAATTACATTGTATTATTAGAGGACAAATAATAACAAAAAATATAGACTCGTTTCCACTAAAGATTCAATGAATTTGGATGAGACCAACAAAACGAATACAATTATACCGTCACTTATTAGAGGATTAATATTTAACTTCAATGAGTTAGAGATTAACAGATTTAAGGAGTTATTCAATTCAGTGGCTGTCGTTAGGAACCCGACCGTGAGATCCATAGCGTATGAGACGGTGAATGTTAGGGAAGCGCTCGAGTTGTTGCTAAACGGAGCGAATGTCATGTTTTCACGAATGGTTAAAATGTCGCTAAAAATTAGTGGATTCACTGATTTGTGCGAAGACGACAAGATTGTGCTCTTGAAGGCCGCCTGTCCTCAGCTCACGATTTTGCAGAGTATTATAATTTTCAATTTCAACGGCGAGTTCTGGACTATTCCTATCGTATGTCTATTATTATTATTATTTAAATATTGGTTAAAATGTTTCAGAATTATGAATAAAGTTGCTGTAAAAACTAGTTATTAAAATTAACTATAATATATTTATTATATTTGATGAATTATGGATATTTGTTGACAAAAGATATATTAATTTTATTACATTTTTTAGGACGAAGAGAAGGCAACTCTAATACAAATGAATGCTATAACGGGTTGGAGTGAAACAGTGGTTCAAATTCATAAGAAATTCCTGTATTGCTTAAGAGATGAATATAATAATGACATGAATTTAATTTATTTGGTATTTAACATTAAAAATAATTTTTCAATTATATTTATCTATATTTTATTAAATTTTATAGTTAACAGCAATTATACTATTTAATCCAGATCAATTAAATCTTGTTCACAAACACAGCGTTATGTAAGCATTAATAATAGTTAATTAATAATAATATTTAAATTAATTACAATTTATTGTTTAAGTTTTCAACAGAAGACATACATGTATTTACTTCAACGCTATTTAGAGTTTAAATACAATTCAAAGTCAGAATCGGAGACACGTTTCAAAAGTTTAATAAATTGTTTGCAAGTATTGTATGAATTAAACCAATTATATCGCAAACTATTCGCAAATTCAATGAGTCTTCCCTTGCGTTTGGAACCTCTTGTAAAAGAAATTTTCGATATAAAAGCATTGAATTAATCATTGAATGGCTATAATTACCGCATTATGATTAAAATTTAACTTTAAATTAATTATATTAAAAATGAGAACGTTTTATAAAACTAATAATTAGTCAAAATTATAAGAATAAAATAATTACTTTAGTTAAAAATTAATTTATATTTTAAATTATAATCGAGATAAAAATGCATTTGAAATAACATGAAATTGAAAATAAAACAAACATTAAAACATGTGATTATGAGTCGCTCGGGAGGAATAAAATCATTAATTTGTGACAACACTTCAATCTCTGGCCAAACGGGAGAATTGATAACGGGGTCGGAAATTGGGATTGTTTTTGTGCCGGCGTTTGTGTTTATTGAGATCACTTGAACGGACAGCCCTATACTCACACCTGTCACATACATATGACCTCACATTGTTGTGCCGATTCATGTGATCAGTCATATCGTGCCGATCGCTGGTCTTATACGCGCAGTCCGGGCGCTCACACGCGTACCCTTTCTTTGGCAATGGCTTACGACTAGCGGACACCACTTCTCGTCGATAGAGCGGACGTTCACTTCGGTGGGCACTCGTGGTCGCCGTCGAGCGCTTAATCGGTGTCCCACTTGTGGTCAAACACTTGCGCTCAGATCCGCCGCTGCCCTGTGTTTGACGGCGGCTATCGTTACCGCTTGTGCCGACTCCGGCCAAGTTTGCGATCACTTCGCTCTCGCTATCGCTGGACTCGATGTGAATGGGAAACGAATGGAGTCTATAATTGGGATCCTTTTGGTGACAGCGTTGGTGTCGTTTGAGATGCGATGGTTTACCAGTCCTATACTGACAGCCGGAGCTCTGACACACGTATGGCTTCACTTTCTTGTGGACGCAGTTTATGTGAGACTTCATACGACAATTATATCTGGCCCTAAACTCGCAGTCAGACCACTGACACGCGTACATCGGTATTGTGTTTGGGTTACCAGAGGTGGACACCACTCGCCGGCCCTCAATTTGGTGGGCACTCGTCGTCGCCATCGAGCCATCAATGAGTGTCTCATTTGTGGTCAAATTTTTGCGCTCAGATCCCGGCGATTGACGGCCGCTACTGTTGGATGTCTTTACGGTGACTTCTGTCTCGGAATCGCTGTTCTCGGCGTCGATGGTTACGCACAAGTTGTCCGACTCAAGCACTTCGCTCTCTCTGTCCACACAATCGCCTGAAGACTCAGTCTTAACGGTCGTCTCGTACTCGGCATCGAAACTCTGGACACCGATTGTGTCAATCATTGGCTCAGACTTTGCGATCATATCCACCGACTCTTCGCATTCCTCTTCAATTTGAACGCATTGTTCACACTTCGGCGCGCATTGTTTCCATCCGCGGATCAGTTCATCGACTTTCTAGAGGTTTGTCTCAACGAGTGTTGCCTTCAATTTCTGTAATTTGTCTTTTTCTTGTCGTATCAATTCTTCGGTGTCTTTCACGCCACCAATCATTGGCTCAAACTCTGGTATCTTCTTAACACTGATGTCAAACGCTTTGGTCAGCGTTTGGATGGCTTTAGATTGTCTGTCGATAACGAGATCACATGTCTTAAGACTCTCTCTCAAGACATTGATCTCATCTCTCATTTCAAACACAACTGTCATGTCTTTCAGTTTGCGGCCAAACTTTATTACGTCCAGCGAATCCATGGCAAGGGATGTCTTCCTCTTCAGTCACTGCTGTCCACAAAACAAGAGTTGATCGCAAGAAACGAAACAATGGATCAATTGATTGATGCAATCAATGGTTAAAACTTTGCCGCAAAACACATGCAATTGAGAGACCCTTTCATTACGTTATTTATGGCAATGAATAACACAATAAGTAATGCATGGCTTTAGCGCCAGATTTGAGATTTTTATTACTAAATGAGTTAATTATTAATATTGATTGCAAATTAATGGTATAAACTATCATTTTTATATCGATAACTATAATTATAGACATTTTAACCATTATATAAATAATATAAATAGTTTGCTAACAATTTATGTTTGATATAAACATGAATTTAAAATATTTATTAAATTACTTCTTTATTACTGTCTCTATATCTATGATTTGATTGCATTTTTATTATAATTTCAATCAAAAATCAGTTTTACTAAAATGTTTAAATTTAACTTTAAAAAATAGTCATCAAACAATATTTATTAATAAATATGGTAATTACATTTTATTAAAACTTATAATGCATTTATAGGTGATATAAATAGTGATTAACAAAATTAAAAGTTTTAACTTTAATTAATTTTAATTTTTGATTTCAATGGCTTTTATAGACTATTTTTATGGTATTAATTGTGAAAATAGCATTTCAAGAGTATGTCTTATTAGAAAGTAATTTTTAATTAAAATTCAGTACACTTTGAATTAAAAATTATCTAAATGTGATGTAATTTATTAATATTAGAGGGAATTAATAGTCTATTTCATTAAAAACTGGTAGTTTTCTTATGATAACAATTTGATATAAGTTTTGTAACATTTTACATGAAGTTTATATAATTTGGATCGAGTTGTAGGAATATTTGAGTTCAAAATGTTATTATTGTGTAAATCTATTATCAAATGTATTGTGTAATAACAAGCATATGTATAAATATAATTTAGAAAAATGTATTGATTTACATTTGTAAACTTATTACTTATTTGTGATACATAATTAGCAAATATAATTTCATACTGTATCCACTTGTGATGGATTAGTGGTATTATTGTTGAATTTGATGTTTAGTTTTGATATTGTAAATAATTTTTCAATAAAATTACCTTAAATTTTTAACTATTAAATGCAATTATTTTATTATAATTCACCTTCAACTAAATATTTGACTGATTGATATTTATACGTGAATTCGTAAAGTCCTTGATGTTATAATGTCTATAATTATAGTTATCGATATAAAAA